TAAAAATATTTAATTCTGTAATATCATTCACTTCACTAGGAGTTAATATAAATATTACTTTATCCGATTCTCTGAGAAACTTTCATGAATATTTAGAGGAATGTTCAAACTTGAATGTACAGTACGGCCAATTTCATCAACTTTATTAATGGAAAAATATGCAGTAGTTCTGTCGTGGCCTTTAAAACAATACTTACGACCGTTTTATGGTTGTGTTAACATTGTTGTTCATGATTCTATTTTAGAAGGGAATACCAATGCTGACATTGACAGAAATATCGTTTTGCGTGTTCAAACTTGAATGTACAGTACGACCAATTTCATCAATTTTATTAATGGAAATATATGCAGTAGTTCTATCGTGGCCTTTATAAAAATACCTACCACCGTTTTATGGTTAAGTTAACATTGTCGTTCATGATTCTATTTTAGAGGAGGATACCAATGCTGACATTGACAGAAATATCTTTTTGCGTTCTTCTTTTACCAGTATCCCAAGGCATAGGCATATCATCTTTATCAGAACGTAATGTATTTTGTACACTGCTTTGTTAATCCGACTTTCATCTACAACCCTAAATTATATAAAATTATACATTAATTATTTCCTCTCCAGACGACCGCCCAGATTTATTTTGTCGCCTTTTCCATCAAAAATTAAAATATCAACAAGGATTTGCTCTTAATTTTATCAAATACATAATAAATAATCCTCACTATTTTTTAAAAAAATTATCCTAAATTTATATGTTAATAAAAAAAATAACTTAAAAAATATATAAATAATTTGCATATAAGTTTCATTAGTGTTTAATGGCAATTTTGTAATTTAAATAGACAGCATTTTTTCTTTTTACTTAACATAAAAAAATATATATCCCTTATCAAATTCTTTGACAAATAATTTCAGAAATGCAAGACATACATTAAATTTATCTGAAAAACAACAATAACCCTATATAATAAACAACATATTTTTTAGATATAATTTTAATTGATCATATTACAAAAAAGTATAAGAGTCGGTTATTTTAATTTTATTTGTCATGATTCTCTAATAAGTGGTTGCCCAGACCTTCCCAGTTTTCCTTAATACGGAATATGTTTTTTTTCCATATTAGACTAATTGGTAAATCAGATATTTCCCGTTCATGTGATGATATTAAAAATTTAACTATCTCCGAGGCGGGAAAAATTTTCAAAATTTTAATTGGTAGGACTGCGCTTGGAACCTCAAAATTAATATTAGCTTGCACCTGACTTGGGAATATGTTTTACAAATTATCAAGGGTTGAGCTGGGCTTGATAAACTTTTATAAAATTACAAGATCTTGGATGCTTCCTAATATTGTGAGCTTGAACCTGGCATGACATCTATCGTAAAAAAATGAATAAAAACCTCATTCCCCGTCATTTTTGACGGGCTTTCTACTAGTTTATTTAATTAGGGTTATAAAATAATTTAAATAATAATAGTCAATTAAGCTTCAACTGTTAATGCTAAATTAATATTTAGTGAGTGATATTGATATTCTATTTTTAACACAAAATTTGATTGCTAGCTGACATAGTGAAAAAATAATTTATCTATATTTTAATTTTCCGAAGTCCTCACTACGGCATGTCATCGCTACGTCATGTCATAGCTACGTCATGTCATCGCTACGTATTTATTTATTTTTATTAATTTATTTATTTTTTATAAAAGCAAGACTCAAATAAAAAGCAACTATTATATCCTGGTAAATAAAATTTATAATTTATAAATTTTTTTATTTATTTACTTTTTTTATAGGTGAAATATTTTGAGAAGAAAATCCAAGAAAGCAAGACTCAAATAAAAAGCAACTATAATCCTGGTAAATAATATATTTAATTTATGATATCAAAAATTAAATATCATTCAATTATAATTTCGACCCATATTCATTTTGAGAAGAAAGGGTAAATAATATTTTTATTTATAAAAATGAGTTTTTACAAATCAAATAATCATACGCCCTTATTTTCCAAAAAATGAGTTTTTACAAGGGCTAATATCAAAAAATAAATATCATTCAATTCTTTCAAGTAAATTAAATTATAAATGCTTATAATTTTTTTACATTTAGAATACATTAATTTTAGCTTCTGATGATATTCACACTCTTTCTAGAGAGTTGAACCTAATATTGATTCCTCTTCATGTTTAATACATTAATATTTTTAAAATTATTCTTCTGTTTTATTTTAGATAACAACCCTGTCTTAACTTCTCTTAATGATTGTACAGATGCTGATTAAGCAACTATTATCCTGGTTAATTATTATTTTTTATTTATTAAAATGAGTTTTTACAAGGGTTGATATCAAAAAATAAATATCATTCAATTATTAATTCAGCCCATTGATAAGAAAAGCAAAGTAAGGGTAAATAATATTTTTAATTTATAAAAATGAGTTTTTACAAATCAAACAATCATCATACACTCACAAAAAGTATAACATCAATAATTTAAACTTTCCCATTCCAGCTACACACATTCAAAATTATTATAAATATTTATGAAAATAGTTTTAAAACACAAAAAATTAATTCTACCTTTTTTTAAACAAAATTGTTGTATAAAACAAGGATGTGCCACCCCCCCCCCCATTTTTAATCTACTAATTAGTGACATCACAAATACCAGTACAAACTGTAGACTGGCTATGCTACGCCGACAACATATATATCATTATTGAAGATGTCATTAACATGAATTATTTTAACAATAGTCTTAAATAATATGTGAAAAATCAGCCTGATAAAAAATTTAAAAAAATATTCTATCTTTCCTTCTTTTTTTGATTTCTTTTATTATCTTCACCTTTCTCAAACTTTTTAATTTCCTATTTCTTTCTCTTTAGCTTCCTTTCCCTTATATTTTCCCTATTTTCTTTACATTTACAATACTATTTTGCGTTCTTCTTTTACCAGTAGCCCAAGGCCTCAGCTTTATCAGGACGCAATGGGTGTTGTACACTGCTTTGGTAATCCGATTCATTACTTTCACCTACAACCCTAAATGGGATGATATTATACATTAATTATTTCCTCTGCCGACGACTGCCCAGATTTATTTTGTCACTTTTTCCATCAAAAATTAAAATGTCATAAAGGATTTGCTTTTAATTTTATCAGACACAAAAAATAATAATCAATCCTCATCATTTATTTAAAAAATTAGGTAAATTTATATGGCAAGAAAAACAAATTTCTTAAAAAATATATAAATAAATTGCATATAAGTTTCATTAGTATTGAATGGCATTTTTGTAATTTAAATAGATAGCATTTTTTTATACTTAACATAAAGATATAGATAGCCCTTATCAAATTTTTTGATAAAAGGAGTTAACCCACTAAGTGGTAAATCCGAGATTTCCCCTTCATGTGATGATAAATTATTTAGAAATTTAACTATCTCCGGGTTTGGGAAAAAGTTTTGAAAATTAATATGAGTTGGACTGGGCTTGGAAAAGATTCCTCAAGATTAATATTTGCTTGCACCTGACTTGGGAATATCTTTTACAAATTATTATGGGCGGGGCTAGGAAAAAATTTTCAAAATAATTATGGGTTGAGCTAGGTTTGAGAATTTATTTAAAAAATTATAAGGTCTTGGACGCTTAGAAATTTTTTCCAAATATTATGAGCTTGGACCTGGCTTGAAATTTTTTAATGTTAAATGTTAGTCTTATGTAATCAGTAATATATTAACAAAGAATTTTGATATTGGGTAAAAGCTCATTTAAATATATTTTGACTCAAAAAATAGTTTTCACTCTTAGTCCTAATGGGTTGGACTCAATGACATTGGTTGGACTTGACCTAAATGGGGAGGGGGGGGGTTTAAAAATAATATAAATTGGATATGATTTTTAAATAAAAGGTAACATCTTTCTTAAAAAATTGAATAAAATTCTCATTCTCCGTCATTTTTGACGGGCTATCTACTAGTATGTATTAATTTAATCTAATATTTAAAATAGTATATATTTAATCAATAATTAGATAGTCTTATTAATTTTTAAATAATAAAATTAAAACTATATTTTACTTAATAGAATTATAAAAGAAATCTTTCAGGGTGCAATCAAAAAAATTTATTTTTAGTTCAAGGGGTTAAGATTCCATTAAAAAAAAATTTTTTTTGCTTCAGGGGGCTATTTAAATTTTCTAGGGGGCTCGAGCCCCTGCGCCCCCCTCCTTAGCGACGCCACTGAGGCGTGTGCTATATTATATGCTAGTAAGTTAGAATTATTAAATTATATATTAGATAAATAAGCAATTTATTTGAATAAACAATATATAAAATGATGGTATATATATATATATATAATTTTAAGGAAAAACATAAATAGTTTTATATAAATTTATAAAATTTATAAATTTAATTAATTTACTTAAATTTGACATATTTTTAATATGACAAAATAAAAATATTTACATATATATAAATAAGGGGAAGATTTTCTTCCCCTTCTGGGGATGCTCGCTTTAATTTCGCAAATACCCGGACAAATGGTTTATTTTTTAATAATAAAAGATAATCTAAAATTACGCCAAACGAAAAAAATATTCAATTCTTAAATCTTTTGGGTAATGAAACTTGAATACTACATCAAAAATTTCAACCAATATCGCATATTTATTATTTTTTTAATAAAATTTTTTTTAAAAAAAATATTTAAAATAAATAAAAAAAATATTTAAGAAAACAAAATTAAAAATTTCCCCGAGTTTTAGTGAGTTACCAATTAAATTAAAAAAAATAAATATTATATGAAGTTAGAATACTCATGTTCTCTCCAAGTTTCGTGCTATTAAACTTTGATCTACAAGTTTATATTGGTGCTTATTATTTATAAAATTCTTTCAGTTTATTTTTTTTAAAATTTATAAATCAACTGCTAAACTAAATATAATATATATTTGAAAACTACCTTATTTTACCTATGTTCCTTCGAGTATTAAATCTAACTATTCATTTTTTAATAAAACATGGCTGACGATTTCATAGAATCATTAATTGAAGCACCATATCAACCCGATGTATGTTATTTTTTTATATGTTAATTTATATCGTTATGTAGAATGCAGATGACGAACGAATGGACCTATCTAAGTAAGTATTACTTTTATAAATGTAATTTGTTCATAAGTTAAAAAATATGATAAGTATTATTATAAAGTATAATATTTTCCTTTTATGACCAAAGGTCCACCTTTTCTATATTACGAAGAAATAAATACGTTTATTATTACAACTTCTTTGATTTGATGTATTTTACAAAGGTAAATAAAACACTTGAATTCCCTTTGAATATTTAAAACAATATTTTATTTAATGTGTCAATACTATGTATAACAAACTCCTTTTTTGAAAAAATCATAACAGATTTGAATGACAAATATGCAGTGGGATAGTCCAACAAGATATAAATTCTCTTATATAATATATAACATTTTATATTTTATGTATAAATTAAAATTATTATATTTTATATAGTCCAGAAGATAATGGAGATATTGATACAGTAAATGATGATAAACATAAGCGCAGCAAAAAAAAGCGTAAGAAAGAAAAGAAAGACATTGATGAAGATGATGAAAGCAAATCTCATAAGAAGAAAGATAAAAAACATAAAAAGAAAGAATTGGAATCCGAGTAATATATTTTTTAAAGTTATTTATATATAATTTTTTTTTTTTAAAAATCAGTGATATAGATAAACGTGATTTTGAAAATAATGATCATAAAAATGAAAAGTCTGATCATAGCAATAATATTAATAATAAGATTGAAGAAAAAACTCACAAAAAAGATAGAAAAAGGGAAGAAAGAGATGTCAGTCATTCAAGTGATGATAGTAGGAAAAGGAAACGCAAGGAGAAAGATAAATCAAGGGATAGAGATAAAAAAGAAAGACACAGAGATTCTAGCAGAAGTAATAGCACAAAACACAAGAGAAATAGTAGTAAAGATAGAAAAAGAAAATCACAATCGAGGTCAACCTCACCTCGTAAATCTCAAACATCAAGTCATCGAAATGATAAATATGAATCAAGGAAAAGGTTATATATTATTTTGAAAAAGATGATGCATAATAAAGTACACATGCATAATTTTGATAGATGATAGTTTTTACAATAATTCATGTTTATTATTTTAATAACTTATTAATATTTAATTGGTATATTAATTTTTTAATCATTACACTTCTTCCAATACAATTTTAAAAGATTTATAACTTTAAGGAAATTTTGAAGTTTTGAAAACAAAATTTACATTATGGCCATGTTTTTAATTTATATTTTAAAAAATCATTTTTTATTTAGGAGCATCACTATACTTTTCAATTTATTTGTGCCCAATTTAGTGTCAAAAATCAATAAATTTTTTTCTTTATGGTGTATATTGGGGTGGTGGGGTTATAAAAGTCAAAAAAATGATTTATCTAAGTTATTAAAAAATATGCCCATGAAGAAAATAAGTCATGAGGCTAAGTTATTATTGAAATATACATTTATCTTACTGTGAAATTTATGAATAAACCATTGTTAATTAGCAAAATTGGATTAACTTAAAATATATTTTATCATTAATACTAAATATTGAATGTTTACCCATTCATGATAACTTCTGAATTTATTGTTATCAAATTAAATTTACATCCAACAATGCTAAACTATTTGAATTATTAATATTTGATTTAAAATATTTTGATTAAATCATGCTAACCATAAGCTCAAGGCACTAATAGAACCCCCCCTCTCCTAGAGACACCACTTATTTTTTTTATATTTGATAGTTTTGTTTTTTTCAAACATTCATATAACTAAACATTTTGTGTGTATTTATAATTGTTCTAAAAAATTCTGAAATTTTAAGGTCAAAATTTTTTATATAATTATATAGAAACTATGACGAAGAATATGAAAGGAGAAATAGTGGGAGAAGTCGGCACTCCCCAGATGATTCCCCACCACCCAGGTAGCTATTAGCATTTGTATATATTTTTTAAATTTTAATTAGAATTAGTTTATGATTATATTACTTGTATCCAAATATTGTTGTTACCCAGATTTGGGTCGATTTTAAATGGCCCGTTAAGATTTTAGCCAAAATAATATTATATTAGCCTCGATATTTGGCAAATAGAGGGCCAAATTTTCTGCTATCTACGAGCAAAATTTCCAAGCTTTTGACTAAAGTCGTAATATGTGAACCTATGTTTTAAAATGTTTTTAATGAACCTAAACTGAATCTAATCTTTTTTTAAAAAAATTTGGAGAAGCTAATGTAATTTAAAAAAATATTTAATTTGTCTTTATCATCTTTCTTTATTTAAAATATATTTTATTACTATTATATATCATATGATGTAGTTTGTTTTTTTTAAGTTATTATGTATTATGTTTTATATATTTTATAAATTATATGTTATATTAAATCATTACTGATAATTTTTCATTGTATTTTTATATTTACTTTTAACATGTACAATTGAAATAAAGAATCTACTGCATTTTCTAATTTCTTCCATGAAATCAAGGGAGATTAAGCGAGACACATTGTGATAATATAATGATATTTAATTCACTTCCATTAGTTTAAGTCAAAATAATTATCATGACCACAAATATGATTTTTAATCTTAATAAAAGAAATTAGCAAAAAGTCAAAATAGGTAATACAATACAAAAAATCTTTTAACGACATCCACCATTATAAAAACATCCATATTGCTTATTTGGAAGGAGAGAAACCTGAAATCTAGTGATAATATCTGTCCTAGTTATATGGATTTAGGTTGGAAGAACAATTTTAGGATTGAAATATATTTTATCATAACAGAGGACAAGATTGAACAAATATCTCAGATGATAATTTAATATACAAATTAAAATTTAAAATGAAATTATGAGTTAGCTTAAAAGAGTGTTTTATTTTTCATTATTCTATAATCATAAATAAGATTAAATTTTTTTTATAAAGCTATATATCGGTATTTCATATAAAAAATAATTTGAACCTCTATAAACCTTTATTTAAAGGTATTCAACCAAATCAAACCTATATATCAAAGAGTTTTACACACAATTAATCGGGCCGTTTTAAATCGAACCAAATTGGGTTGTTTAACAGGTAGTGTATCCATTTTTTTAAAATAATTCATGGTAACTTAAAACAAAAATATTTATTCTTGAAATTTATTTTTGGCCATTTTATATATTTATTATTATTCATATTGGAGATCTGCACCTAAAAATTTTTGGTTGGATGGCAACTTATTTTTATGGGCCAGGCTAGACTTTTGAATAGTATAAAGAAAGAATTTGTACCATATTTTTAGGTTAGGCTATTTAAAAAAATAGGGGCTAAGTTGGGTCTAAACCATTTTTGGAAAATCAGGTTGTGCTGATCTCCTATATGCACATTGCTATGTATTATAAACATTCTTGAATGATATTAAAAAAAAACAATTTATCATGTTTAGGCTTGAATTATTATTGGCGTGGAGATTTGAAGATAGACATCTAAATCTACTAATCGCAAGCATTTAATTTAGATATGTTTAGCGAGGATAGTCTCCAACTGTGGGAAGTCCTTTTCGCTTCCTTTACAGAATGTGGATTCCTAAAACCTCATTTTATGTTTCAAATGAGTTTGTTTATTTACATTTTTCCACTTATTACTCATAATAAAAAAAATATAAAATATACAATTTTATTTTGAAAGGTCTTTTATTATATTCTCCTAAATTTATGGGTTACATTTTATAAGCAGGAATTTTATGATTATTATCATTTGACTGAGGCAAATACATGGCTCCTACGAATGGTACATTGTGTTCTCATACATATTAGATCTCACAGCATACACCTTATTAATTCATTAATTTAAAAAAACGACACTATTTTTACTATGCAGTTTTTGTTATAAATTAATATTTTTACATTTTGTTTCGATTTCCAGTACCACATATGCTTATACAAATAAAATTGTAGTTGGTTTAGATGTTACAAGCCGTTATTGGGGAATCACTATGAGCTTTGTTAGCTTTGATCTCAAATGGAACTAGTTTTTTAGCTAAGCTAGATTAATCCATGCTACAGTGTATGTATATAGTAGATATAAAGTCAGAACATGACTTGACCCATTAAAAAATATATTAAATTTGGTGTTGTTCCGAAAATTATTATTAGCTTATTTGAATTTGCTTTTGATGAATAATTTCCATTTTTGTTTTAATCCAACTTTACATAATTATTCTATTTATCTTAAAATTTTATTTACAAAATTTTTATATTTATATTCCTAAATATTTTTAGTAAATTTTTTTTGTCACTATCGACTTTTTTTTTACTCTCTTTATTTGCCTATATTTAAAAGTTTATACGTCTTGAGTGAATATCCATCAAAACAGAACTAGAAACTTAAAAAATAGCAAACGAAAAATTGGTAAAAGTATTATTTTTTTAAATAAAAAAAAATTATAATATTGAATCATAATAATAACAGGGCAAGTGATAAAGACGATGTGGAATTGACACCCGAGGAACGAGATCAAAGGACCGTTTTATTCATGCAGTTAGGGCCTTATGTGAATGAGCGAGATATCATGGATTTCCTAAAATCTGTTGGGAAAAAGACTAAAGATGTATAAATATTTTTTTTGCCAGATTTTTAGATTTATAACATTTTTATTGCCATATTTTAGTAAGGTAATTGTAATTACCATATTATCGTTTTATTTAAAAAAACTATTTCTTGATTTTACATTTGTCCATAAAATATACGTGATAATTTTTTTTAAAATTTGACACATGAATTATGATCTCATGAGTAAGCACCTTGACTGACTCCCTAGCAATCTAGGAATTAATTTCCGTCTTAAAAATTCTTTTAAGTTATATCACTTTCTTAAAAGCTCTATCTTAGGAAAGAGCTTAGGATGAGATATGGGCTTAAGACTAGTTTTTTTTAATATAAAACAAAGGTATATTCGTTTTTTAAATAAAATTTGGTTGTTCAGGAAAGATATATACTTGTCTAACTCGTATGTTTTCAAAAACAAAATCAAGGTCTAGTTGAAAACTATGCTAGATTTTATGGTAATAAGTTACAAATGTTCAATACAACTGATTTTATAAGACCCGAATATAATTTATAAATTTTTTTTAACTATATGGTAGGTCAGGGACATAAGACTGATAGTAGATTCTAGAACACGAAAATCGAAAGGGCTAGCTTACGTGGAATTCAAAGAACCCGAATCTGTTCAATTTGTAAGATTCTAATACAAATTAAAATTTGTTTACATTTTGAAAATTCTTATAGTTATATAGATATTTGTTTTTTTATATGTGAAAAACATATTTTACTGCCTTTATAGAAAATATAATTTAGTCAATATTTTATTGCAAATTTTTCAATATTAATTTTATTTTTTTGGAAAAAAAATATTACCTAAACCTTGAGATCTCGCATATTGATGGCAGAAAGGTTTGAATTAGTGCCTATTTTAAATTAAAATTCTATAATAGTAGGCATGCCTTAATATTTCATTAATAGATGTCCAAACCTTTCTACCATTCTATGAGCAAAATCTTCAAGCTTGTGTAATATTTCTTAATTAAAATATTGGGTTAGCCGTCCTCAAAAATCTGGCCGTTTAAACAACATTAGTTTGTTTTTTTTGGCAAAATTCTTAAGCTCTTTAATATTTATTGACTAAAAAATACACTAAATCGCTGTTTTCTACAATACTAATCACAATGGTCATAAATAAATTTTTAAGTGTTTAAAAATTTACATTCATCAAGATGAGCCATTTAACATCTTTATTTTTTAATTACAAGTATTTCAACATAATTGCTGCCTTATTAATATGGAGGTTTTAAAAGATTGGTCAAAAATTCAAATTAAATGTCAACCCTTTACATGTAATATATATCTGTTATAAATAAATAAAGGCCTTGGGTCTTAACGGCAAAAAGATTAGGAGCAGACCCATAGTTGTTCAACACTCTCAAGCAGAAAAGAACAGACTAGCGATCCTAGCCAATGGGGGAATCGGCTTGCAAAGGGGAGGTCAGCCTGGCCCCATGAAACTCTATGTGGGCTCGCTCCACCCAAACATTTCCGAAGAAATGCTCAGGGGAATTTTTGAACCATTTGGAAAGGTATGTAATCATTCTTTGAAGATGTGACTATTATAATTGTTCATTGTAAATAATCATTTAGAGCTCATTTAAATAGGAAAAATTTATATTACTCATGGATGTAATAACATATGTTTTTTATCTTTTTAGTTTATACTTTGATGATATGTATTATTAATCTTAAAGCCTTATTTTTATTATATGTTTATTTGCATATAATATTTATATAGATCGACTTCATAAACTTGATTATGGATTTAGAATCGAACAAATCTAGAGGCTATGGTTTTATACAGGTTATTTGTATATTTATTTAAAAGCTAGTATTACAAGTCCTTCCCATATATATCAATTAATATGTACCAAAATTCTGAAACATAAACCCGAACAATAATGAGTAGAAATATAAATTTTGCTTCATTTTAAGGAAAAAAACTCTACTGATTATAAATAAAAAATATATATAATACATTGATTGACATTTCATACAATCTATTTTTTAATTTATATTATTTTATTTTGTATGTTCCTAGTACTCTATTTTTCTCCATTATTTAAGTTCTCTTATCTTCTAATTTGTTTTATCTAATATTTTTTACGCAATTAATTAATAAGTATTTATTAATTGCGTTTAAAATGTTTTAAAATAAACCCTTTTAACCCCTTAATATTAGATATTTAGTATTTGTTGAACACTAAAAATTGAAATCTAATGAGTTAATATATATTTATGAATATAGTTTCACGATTGTGAAGATGCCAAGAGAGCTCTCGAGAGCTTGAATGGGTTTGAATTGGCAGGAAAGGGAATGAAAGTCAGCAAATTCAACGAGAGACTCGGAGTCCCTTCTTCACCTCCCATGCTTATGGTTCCTCCCAACCCTCTTGTAATTAAATTATATAATAATATTGATGAATTTGATGTAATTTAAATATTAAAAATTTATAAGTATCTGTTATATCAGTCAATATCTTCCAGCTATCGGTCTTGATATCAACTTAAAAGACATGATTGCTGAATCATTTGGACCACTCTTTTTCCATTAACATGGTCCAGTCTTTAAGCTTTGGGGCACAAAACTAAGACCGTACTTTGGCTCATAGTGCCCTAATATTTTAGTAATATTGTACATTCAAATAGAAAGAATCACAAATAGATAATGAAAAATAATTAAATCAAATGTTTTAGACGCCATTATATACTGGTGGATCAGTGGGACTAACCGGAAGTGGACAAATCGTTAATTTTGCTGCGCAACAAGCTATGGGAAGTGTCAATCAAAGTGCTGCCGCCTATTCTGTTCTAGATAATGAGGAGATGGAAAAAACCGGCATCGATTTGGGTGCCTCAGGCAGGCTTCAGCTCATGGCCAAGCTTGCAGAAGGTTATACTTATATATATATATATACCTATGCTCAATTTAAGTTGCAAATCTCAGATTTAAAAACCTTATTTCTAACTTATTTTATTAAGCCCTTTTTAAGATTCATGTATTTTTCTTTAGAGTTTGAACCTTCATTAATAGGAATTTTGGTCTGAACCTAGTTTCTATACTAAGATTTTTATATAGGGAGTCAGGTTACTTGTTATAAATTTTAAAGGGAGTTTTTATTCCAGTCTTAGATCTCTTCAATAAATTATTCTTATTTTAAACAAAAGGAACTGGTATGCTAATTCCGAAAGTTTCTTCCTCTGGCATGAGTGGAGTGACACATCCTCACCTTCTGAATCCTATGCCTCAAATACAGACGCAGCCTCCTATTGCCACCCCATGCTTTATGCTTTCCAATATGTTTGACCCTTCCAAGTTAAACCTTTTTTTAAAATTGTCAAATCAACTAAGAATATCTAAATATTTGTTCATACTACTTCTGACATTTTTTATTATTTAAAAATATTTACCCTTTTATTTTTCTCATTTGGAGGTTTCACTTAAATTTATTGGGAGCCATTAATTAATGCAGGAAGGTGGTATATTCAAGAATAACTTAGTTATTATTTAAATATTTAATTAATGATTTTTAATCCCTAGGAGTCTAATATCATAATTTATAAACACAACCTATAAATTTATTCCATATAAACAGGGAAGAAGGAAGTGAATGGATTATGGATATCCGTGATGATGTTATAGAAGAATGCGACAAGCATGGAGGAGTTTTGCATATATACATCGACTCCACATCGCCTGCCGGCAATGTATACGTAAAATGCGTCTCCATCACTACTGCCATCGCCTCTGTCACCTCTCTTCACGGCCGCTGGTTCGCTGGTATGCACCATATTTATGTTTTATACCCATTAAGATCATCACTTTACAAAGTTCTGATTCTCTGTGTAGATTCTCTTTGAAAAATAAATATTCCCAATACTTCAACTGAATTTTGCTTCTATGCGACTCTAATTTCATATCACATTTTATTAGATTTAATTTCGTAATTTTTATAATTATTTTTATAATTATTTTAAAATTTATCAATAAAATTTTAATATGATATTTTATTGCCATCTCGTTATTTTTAACTTCTTAATTATTAAACAGAGTAGTAATTGAGATTAATATAACATAATTATGTCTTTATAAAAATTTCTCCAATCTATAAAGTATACTTGTTTTGTAGATCAAATTTTTTTAATTTTTTTTCAACAGGTAAAATGATAACGGCAGCTTACATACCTTTAGCAAATTACCATAGCCTCTTTTCAGATGCTATATCTGCTTTCGCCAGACTCAAAGCCTCCTCGACTAAAGAATAAAGAATCCATTCTATTTTATTTTTGTTACGTTTTGTACATATATAGAGGTGGGAGTATTTATAATATAATTTATTTCATGTCTGTACTATATTGATATTCCTCATTTCATTAATAAAATTTTTTATATATCACTCCCGCATCATTGATATCTACTCACTATATAGCTTAAATAAAATTCTAATGAACATGAACACACATTTTATTTCAAATCCTTTATTATTATAAAATAGCAATAATATAATAATTAAAATAGTAATTCAACCCTGCAATGAGATATTGATGTCTTTGTAAAAGAGATCCAACTATGAAGCTTATTTAGAGATATAATAAAATATCTCATTGTAAAAATAAAATTAGAACCCTACTCTAGGCCTTAAATAAAAACTCTTAATAGTAGTTGTCTTCAATAAAATGACAGAGTAAGAAAAAATTTATACTTCTTTGTAAAATTCAAAATCAAAATTACGATTTTTTATACTTTCCTTGCCTTAATACATATAATGGGGTGTAACTAAACTGAGAATTGACAGGTAAACTGCGAATGGACAGGTAAACTGAAAATACACAGGTATAAATTTATTTATAGCCTATCAATTATATTTTAAAAATATAAATAATTTATTTGTATTATGTAAATCAAATTTATTTTCAAAATTAAAATTATCTAAAAAAATAAAATAGAATATGGAAGAAAGAGTAGTTCATAAATTTAAAATATGTATAGAATAGATATGTTACAAAATTATAACACTAATAATAAATATAAAAAATAAATATATTTCCGTTAGATAACGTAATAGACTAAAATTTTAGTTTTTAATTAAAAAAAATATGAATTATAAGAGCATAATTTTTTACTTTAGACTAATTTATTTGGTCAAAGATGAAAAAAATTTAAGTTTCCATCATTATTTTTTGAGCTAAGATGTCAATCCTCAGTTTAGTCAAAATTTTTTACATTTTTGGGATTTTTAAAAATATTTTAATTTTTTTGACTCATTTTGTGTAAACTTACTCATATAAACATAAAATGGAAAAAATTTTAAGTTTCCGTCATTATTTTTTGAGTTATGATTTCTCAGTTTAATCAAAATTTTTACATTTTTGGGATTTTTAAAAATATTTAAATTTTTTTGACACATTTTGTGTAAACTTACTTATATAAACATAAAATGAAAAAAATGTTAAGTTTCCATCATTATTTTTTGAGTTATGATGTCAATTCTCAGTGTTGTCAAAATTTTTAAATTTTCGTTATTTTAAAAATATTTTATTTTTTTTGACTCATTTTATGTAAACTTACTCATATAAACATAAAATGAAAAAATGTTAAGTTTCCGTCATTATTTTTTGAGTTATGATGTCGATTCCCAGTTTAGTCGATTTTTTTTAGATTTTTGGGATTTTAAAAATATTTTATTTTTTTGACTCAATTTTGTTACTCATAAACATAAAATGAAAAAAATTTCAAGTTTCCATCATTATTTTTTGAGTTATGAAGTCAATTCTAAGTTAAGTCAAAATTTTTAAATGAGTCAAAAAAATAAAAAAATTCCAAAAATCTAAAAAAAATTGACTAAACTGAAAATTAACATCATATATAACTCAAAAAATAATGACGGAAACTTAAAATTTTTTTCATTTTATGTTTATATGAGTAAGTTAACACATAATGAGTCAAAAAGAAAATATTTTTAAAATCCCAAAAATCTAAAAAAAATTGACTAAACTGAGATTAACTCAAAAAATAATGGCGAAAACTTAAATTTTTTTTCATTTTATGATTATATAGCTTGTACCAAATAAATTAATCTAAAGTAAAGAATTATGCTCATAATTCATAAAATTTTTTAATTAAAAACTATATTTTTAATATATTACGCCATCTAACGGAAATATATTTATGATTTTTTAAATATGCATGTTTATTTCCTATGTAACATATCTGTTCTATACATATTTTTAATTTATGGACTTCTTTATTCTATTTTATTTATTTAGATAAAATTAATTATGGATAAATTTGATTTACATAATAAAAACATTTTATATATATTTTTAAAATAAAATTGATAGGCTATATAATAAAAATAAATTTAACCTGTCAATTCTCAGTTTAGTACACCGATATAATGTAAAGAATGGGAAATATGATAATAAATATTAAATTTCTCAAATTTGTGTTGTTGCACCAATAATGTTGCATCTCACTAAAATCTATATACTGTGTTATCTTAAATTTCAACCAAGTTCTTTTAATCTTCCGAAATAAGAAAAACGAGCAAACTTAATAAAATTAATCTTGAAAATAAAATATATAGAGTTCCAATATTATTTACTCTTATGTAGCCAAAACTATTTAAAAAAAATTCAATGCAGATATAAATTAACTTATGCTTTTCAAGGCCTCGCAGATTTTTGTCATCCTATGCCTACAAATTGAGGTCAATTTGTCTATATAAAGTTCTAACTAATAGATGAAATAATTTATCTAGTTAACCTAAAAAACCGATTACGAGATATTATAATCAATGTAAATTAGAGACCTGCAGTGGTACCATTTACATGGTCTAGACCGGGTTTTATATTTTCAGGCCCAACCTAGATTTTTAAAAAATATATAATATTTTTATAGCTAATGGCGATTGAAAATATATGGCTTGGCTCATGATATTTAAAAAAAAATTAAAATACAGCCTTGCCTATGTACCCAGGCCGGGCCTGCAGATCTCTGATGTAAATCATTTTTTTTTAATATAAAACTTTTACAAAATTATCTAACTTTCATTCACTTTATTGTACTAAACATTTTTTCCCCTGTGAAATTTATCAATAAACTATTGTTTAAAAGCTGGACGAAATTTATATTCAGGGAAAAATTTAATCCAAATATTTTTATATCATTCCGAGATAGGGTATGGTAACGAGACCTAGCAAGTAATGGTTATTCATAACCTTTTTAAAGAGAAAATAGCATAAAAATTCTGGATGATATATGGTTGGCCCTCACAAATATTTGTAACATTATTTCCGATTTTTACCCAGATTTGCATATTAGAAAGTTATCAATTGAGACAAGTACCGAATTCATTTTCTATTGTTTCAGCATCAATAAAAACAAATGAATGTTTTTGGCAAAAATGATCAGAATTATAAAAGCTAGCGATAAAGCGCAGAGTTTTGTTGTCAAATCATTTTGCGGCAAACATATTTGATTTGAACAAACGATGAGATATCTTCTGACATGGGTGTAGTCAATGTCCTAATTGCTTTCAATCTTGATATCGGAGTTGTTTTAGCCAATCTCGTAGAATTTTGATCAAAAATCTGTATGATCGCTATAAAACTTATCATTTGACGAATGCTGCTTTGAAGAGAATTTGGTCTCATTTTGGAAAAAACCATTCCTAAAATGGTATTAGATTTAGCGATAAACGCGTAGGAAAGTTAATTTCCATAAAATGCTATTTATATTATTTACAATATTCAGTTATTTCAACTTCTGAAATTTTAAAAAATAAAAATATATTATCAGCAGATAGCGATAATTTTAGAAGAGAGCATGAATTGGACTTCTCATTCCGATTAATTAATTTCATATATATTTCTATTATTATAATTTCAAATATTAAATAAATATGCATCAAAAATTAATATATTGCTATTTAAGACTTCTGGTTTTACTCTATTTAGTATATCTAATTCATTGAGTCAAGCATGACACATATAAGGCTAAAACAAATTTGATTTTTAACAGGTTTGCTACATTTTTTTTTACAAAGTTTTTCAAAATTCCCGAGAATTTTACATGCTAATTAATCTTAATATCAAAATTTATATTTATTAAACGTCAAAAATATATCTCCTTAAATTTAAACAATATTAAAATAAATATATAAGTTTAATATACCAAAATTTTTTGAATCAACATTACATATAAAATTTCGCTATCAATTAAAACTTAAATGCAAAATAGTTAAATGTGGTACAATAAATTATTTGAGTGTAAAAATGATTTTAAATACCAACATAAAAGAAAATGGATTTGATTTTTCATCATAAAATCATTGATCGAATTATGCCAACCCGAGGTTTACTATAAATATAAATAAGAATTTATTTTATGCCTAAAACTATTTAATATAGCTCATTAAATACTATTTTCTCCCATAGTATATTTATACTACTATTTCAATGCAATTTATAATTTTCCAATATTTTAAAATTTATTTATATATTTTGTATAAGTTAAATCATATACATATAATAATTATATTTAAAAAAACATAAATTTTTTAATAAATATATGGTCCATAATTAATTAACATCGTCTTACAAAATTTAAAAAAAAGCAGAATTATTCAATAGTATAATTTATCAAAAAGATTTACATTACCTAAAGAAAGGAAATAGCCTGGCTAATGGCTATAGTCAATCAATGATTAAATATATTATTAGTTTAGCTATTCATTTATTAAATGTGTTCATACATAGGATTCAGCTGTAATGCCATTTTGTTGTTTGCACGTCAACTAATTGTCTTTATCTACCATTATATGAGTGTACATCAATGTAATTATTTAATTAATGTGCAAACCACAAAATGACACTTAACAGCATATATATATATACACCGAAGTCAAATACGGGTTGAGTTGTTTATAAAATTCACTTTAAAATGCTATTATAAATCGAGATCATATAATTAAATGCGAATAAAAATGATTGAGCATGATTACACATATTTTTTTTAATTACAAACACGAATAGGTTATAATTCGTCATCAATTTCATAACTTTCAGGTTCTTCCTCCTTGACTTTGGTCTTGGGACAATTCTGGCATTTACTTTCATTTTTACCGTAGCTTTTTTTTTAAAACGTGATAGATAAAAAAAACGATTGATTAAAAATATTTATGTTAAAGGTAAAAAGAAAATTCGAATTCAATGTCGCTAATTTTGACAAGTGTTGGTTTGATCCAAGGCCTCGTTTATAATAAGCGCGCATCGAACTGTAAATATTATATTAACCTATTATTTGCTTGCTTTTTAAAATATACCGAGCGATGCGTGTCGTAAAATTTACTATAAACTAGACTTAAAGATATAAAATCAAATTTTTGAGAGAACAATTTGGTCCTTCCAAAGTCTTGTGGGACCAACTATGACTGAAATTTCCGGTCCAAAACAGGTTCAATTTTTGTTTCTAGGAATTTTTCTAAACTAAAAAGTTCATAATTACTCACGATTAAAATTTAATAAAAATTAGCGATCATGATCAAAGACGATCGATCTGCTTATAAGACTAATGACTTTTTTTTTCAAATATCTCTGATCGATTAAAGATTTAATAAAAAAATTTTAAATAGAAAAATATCATAGTTTTTGAGTGGCCGCTATGATAGGTCTGATTCGATTTCCGTCAAAACCCTTTTTTTCTTTATGAAACCAATCTCTGAATGGGGTAGGTTAGGGTCGACTACGAATGATACATACCTAGATTGATTATTCATTCCTTAAAATGCATTTTGAAGCATCATGTGACCCATCTTATTGGTTTCTCCCGTATGTAAAACAAAAACAAAGCTCAAAATTTTATTGTAAATTATTTATGGCGGGAACCCAAAAAATATGGATTGTAATCAGCTGATTTGAATTGGTAAACATTTAAATGAATGGGAATAATCAGTATAGCTATTATTATGTCATTGGCTATGGTTAAAAAAATCGACAGAAGTGGAGTAGGTAATTATATTTATAAATTTCAATAAAAATTTAATCTTATCTATTAAATTGCTATATGGTGGGGTGGGCTATTCATCTGTAAACTCTGCCGATCGCGTTCTAGCTTGATTCATAATTTTAAGATGGGTATAAATGACTCTGAGATATATAGTATGGGTGGAATTCAGTACTAGGTTATCTAAAAGTCGAAGGTAAGGCTTATATAATATATTAGAAATGTTTCTTTCATTTTGATAAAGCTAAAAATCCTCGTTGTTAATAGTATTTTCAAAAAAGTCTCGAATTGACAATTAAACTTAGGGACTGGATAAGAAATGGAATTGGTTGATATCTAGCGATGCTTACATTTAAATTGGATAAAAATGAAAGGGTTATGAAATTCTCTTCAAAAGGGTACCGGTGCAATGTGTTATTTATACTCCGATAAAATATACCCCTTATTTAGTGATATTGACATTTACGATTGATGTGCATAAATTAAATATTATTTTTTTATAAAGGCAATTTTGTCTTATTCTTTTATTCTCTTTACAAAAATTTATATTTATTTAAGTTTAAATTCAAAAATGTCAAAGCTATGAAAATGTGAGATATAACAAAATATAGGTAGGATAACTACTTGCACTATTTATTTTCACGTTACCATTCAAAGTTAGAATCATTTATTGAAATAATTAATTTCAAGCACATAAATTATATTTTCCAAGGCATTGACAATATTTTTGTATCATATATATAATACTTTATTTAATTTGTAAATATAAAGAGTAAAAAAATAAATTAATAAGATATGCGATATAAATAAGATTAATTAAAATTTATTATGCAGTCAATTTGCACGCGATAATTTCCTAAATATATAATTACATTAAATTTTTTGATGTTATGTAATTTCTTAATTGGCGTATAATAAGCTCATTTATAAATAGTGTGAATGATTATATTTGTCTAAGCATAGTTGTCATTGCAACTATCTCCACTTCTGTGGCGAAAGTTTCATTTTGGGAAATGCCTGTTCTCTCCAAATAAGCGTCAACGGGTTTTCCCAGAAACCCTTACATCTGCTCTAGTATATCCTTACTCCTCATAAAGAGAATGCATTACTGTCTCAGAAAGTCATAATGGCATTAGTCATCTCAATTTTTTAGAAGAGTTAAGAGAATAAGTGCAACACCGAAAATGGTAGAGCCTGGTGATTATCGACCATATGGTATAACATTTTTAAAATTGATAAAATATTTTTTTTAAATTAATAATTGTTCTGCTTCCAATTTGAAGATTAGATGGCGAAGTAGACAACTTTAATAAGAATGGTATAAATTTGTATAATTAGTAGATTTATACATATATTTTTAGAAGATGAAATTATATTAGAGTCAGCAATTTGCAAGAAAGATGGTGAAAACGTACGTTATAATTGGGATATCAAGAAAAGATATGGCATCATTGGTGAAAATTTTTGTACCGAAAGTATAATTGGCGATGATAATTGACTTTTCAGGTATGGATATTTAAAATAAATTAAATTGTTAATCATATTATCGATGAATAAGCAAAAAAATTTGCGATGACGAATGCCACTATGACTTTCTGAGACAGCAATGCACTCTCTTTATGAGGAGTAAGGATATGCTAGAGCATATGAAAGGGTTTCTGGGAGAACCCGCTGCAGCTTATTTGGAGAGAACAGGCATGACCCAAAATGCAACTTTCGCAACAGAAGTGGAGATAGTTGCAATGGCAGCTATGCTTGAGACAAATATAATCATTCACGCTATTTATAAATGGGCATATTACACGCCAATTAAAAAATTACATAACATCAAAAAATTTAATTTAAATATATATTTAAGAAATTATCGCGAGCATTTTGACCGCATAATAAATTTTAATTAATCTTATTTATATCGCATAGGTTATTTATATAGCTTACCTTATTAATTAATTGTTTAGATCTTTATATTTACATATTAAAAAAGTATTATATATAAGATAAACATTATTTTTTAATATAAAATGATACAAAAATATTGTCAATGTCATCTTTTTTTGTAAAATATAATTTATGTGCTTGAAATAAATTATTTAAAAAAATGATTCTAACTTTGAGTGATGTGAAAATAAATAGTGCAAGTGGTTATCTTACCTATATTTTGTCATGTCTCAAATTTACATATTAAATATAAAATTTTGTAAAAAGAATAAAAGAATAAGTTAAATTGCCTTAAATATTATAGATTATAAAAAAAATAATATTTAATATTCAAACGTCAGTCATATTTGTCAATATTACTAAAAAATATAATATTCAATTTATGCACGTCAATCGTAAATGTCAATATCACTAAATATCTCCGGACAAATACAGCAGATAGAAATCCTGAAATCCCTATTTCCCATTCTATGCTTATCATTCTTCTCCACTTATTTAGTGCTATTAAAATTTACGATTGACACGCATAAATTAAATTATTTTTTAGTGATATTGACAATTATGACTGAAGTATAAATATTAAATAGAATAATTGCCACATAAACTTGTCAAAATTTAATTAACTCTATTCCAAATATTATAACTACCTACCATCATTCGGGCAGATAGTGATGTAAATAAATTTTAACCTTGTGAACTATCTTAAATGTTATCTGGTGATTTCATTTTTTACCGAATCACGTTACTTTTAAATGTCGAAATTTTAAAGTGGCTGATGGAAAGTAAATGTGCAATTTTTTTTTGATTATACTTATGCCTCATTTATATTAAACGCAATTCAAGCGATTATTTAACGCTATCGAAATCACAATTGATTCTTCGCGGCGATTATAATTTTTAAAATATACGTCGCGACATATATGTTTTTTAAATTTTATCATAGCGTTATCATCGTTTAGATCCTCATTTATAAATTATTCCTATTTATTGGCTAGATTTTGTATACACTGCAGCGCTTGAATACATCGCGTTTACTATAAATGAGGCGTTAGTCTTATCTAAAGTAACCTCAAACAGGTGTTTCCAACACATTGGCAACAAGCGTCGTGAAACCATCGGTACTTGGATGCTCCCATCGAGTAACACGTCATTCTGCACTTATGCATGGACATGCATTCGGACATGTAAAGTATGGTACAATTCACGGCATTTGCATCTTCGTTATTATCTTTCGCTAAACCAGTTGGAGTATCTTTTGAATATTTACGGAAGTGTTATTATTATAAGATAATTTATACTAGAGTGATTCTTCTATTTTCCCTCTAATCAGTTTTGCCGTATTTTAAAATGAAATCTGAATTAGGCAATCATTCAAGTATAGAATGTTCATTGCATCAAAAGTGATAAAAAAAAAATTCATTCTATTCAAGAATAGGGAAAAAAGCAAAGGCTGAATAGTGATTGATGGGCCTACTGTCAGATCTAGCATTTGTCAAATATTTGCGCAGGACCGGAAACATGCAAATTTATTAAATCGTATAATTATAAAAATTTATTTCCTTCAAAAAAAAAATCATAAAATAGGGACAGAATTTTATGAGTTAGTCTAAAAAAATTATAGGCGAAAAAAAGTTTTTTTCAAAAATTTTCGGGAATTCAGGGTCAATCTCTAATTAACTTTACATTATTATATGACAATCACGAATAAGGTCCATACCCAAAAATTTTTACTAAGGAAGAGGCATTAGGAGAAATTGCATAATTAGTCTGTATTTAGTAGAAATTGTTACAAGCCCCCTAAGTCTAAAAAATATATAATAAAAATCGGGTTCGCCACTATGCTTTGAATTGAAAACATTAATTAAATAGTTGCAAAATCATAAAATGAGTCATTTAAAATTCATATGCCAAATATACTCGAAAAAAAGAGTTTTTTTTATCCCCCTCTTTTATTATGGTTAAGATGAAAAAGTTTTTTTTAATCCCCCTCTTTTGTTTATGTTAAATAAAGTTTTTTAATACCCCTCCTTTGTTTACAATAAAATGAAAGTTAAAAAAAGGTTCCTCTTTTGGTCCCTCTCTTGTTTTAAGTTAAACACAGTGAAAGTAAAACATATGGCTTTTATGTTTTCTCTCACTTTACTGGATTTCTTACTTTAGGAGTCCTCAGTAAGGTGATCCGAAAATATGAGTTAGACCGTTGGGTCCAGGAGACCACCCTGCATTCCAAGGTATATTTTGAGTTTCGGGAAGTATAGGGGGGTAGGTTTTATCCCCAATTATGTACGATAAAACTAACACAACTCGTTTCCACAAAAACGTTCTTTTTTTCACTTTGCGTCAATTTAATTATAATTTATAATTGCGCCTTTTATTTCCCCTATAAAAGGGACGAATTTTTTATAGTTTATATATACTTTATTTTTTATGTAAAATAATTTTGAAAATCTTTATTAATATACACACTTTTTTATGTTTAAAATAATTTTGAAATTTTTATTAATATAAACTTTTTTAGTTTTGTAAAATTTTGATAATAATTATTTTAGTTATTTTGTTAAACAATAAATTTTGATAATAAATTATCATGACTACGACCCGATCTCAAAATCATTTAAACGAAGTGTCTCAAAATTCTTCAAAAACAATTTTACAAAATTCTGAACATTCATAAGAAACTCTCCCAAAATTCTACCTTCACCCTCATCGTGGCGCGGGATTGCCACGTCTTTTGGCGGCTAATGGACGTCTAAAAGGTTCCCTGTGATCTGGGTCTAGAATTGGATCACCGTCTCTTCGACGGGGTGTAAAAAATAATCCTTTTTAAAAAAACAGGGCTGGAGCTTGAGAACAAAAAAATTTCAATCCCTGCACAGGCTAAAATTACTTATGGTACAAATTAAGGAATTATACGATACATAGCCGGGACTCGAGTAAGATGATTTTTAAGACATCACCCTCTATCACTTTGGTTCTGACAGGTTCTTTCCAGGTCTTCAAGTTAATTAAATCCTCATAGTAGTTTCAAATGTTTTTTTTCCCGGTATAAAAAAAATTATTGTCTCATTTTGTACTTTTTATTGTTTTACAATTTAATTACTCTTTCGGAGGGAGATGGGAGGGGTGTATTGGTATTAGAGGTATCTTGGGTGAAGATTCCTGTGAGCCAAAAGGACATGGTTTGGCTTGCCAAGAAAAGAATTAATTATAAATTTCAAACAGTTATTTTGATTGTGACAAATTTTTGCAAAAAAAATCACTTAGTCGTGATTGAAAATTAATATAAATTTTATGTGAATCATGATTTAATTTTTTAACATATTAATTTTATAATTATTTTAGAAAGAGTGTTATATTACAAGATTGTTTGAATGATTCCATTACAAATTACCAGTGTTTCGAACTGCTCTCTCAAAAATGGACAAAACTTGTCATTATAATTATTTATGTTGACAAGAAAAAATCTATACAATAACATATTTATATTCTTGTCAATTTTAATAAGTTAAATAATATTATTTACAAACGAATTAAAAAATATGGAAATGTTTTTCATTAAATCTGCACAAACAGCAGTCATCCCTTTTCCTCAATTGTGGCCTAAAAGAAGGATAGTGATGGCAAATGGGAGGAGAAATATATATTCTTCATACTCAGTAATCTCATTCCTTTTTATTACTTCGACTAACCCACAAAGTCATAAATATGCGTTTTATGAATTTTTGGTGGTTAGCCACTACTAAAAAATAATGAGATTACTAGGAGATATTTCTTTTTTAACCCTCATTGACTATAACATCCTTCTTTTACCCCCAAGTGATCAAATAATAAGGATAATAGATTCTAGAGGTCTGCATTGGGCAAATTTTTAGGGGCGGGCGGGTTCAAATTTTTTAAAGAAAGTGGGGTTAAGAAGAATATTTAAAGTATGGGTGGGCAAGCCGGCGGGAAAAATTTACAACTTTTATTTTTATTTAAAATAAATGAAGTAAACAATAAAAAAAAATTGCTTCCCGAAATTTCAAAATTTTTATTACCAAGTGATAACTGTGGATGTTGTCGTCGAAAGAAATTAATTGGGTAAAAAATATATCTAAAAATGTTGGATCTGATTTGCATGAAAGAATGGATGAAAATCTGATTTCACCCATTTCCCCAAAAGCAAAGAAAATTTAATTAAAGATTATCAAATTATAAATGCAATGTTTGAAATAGATAGCAACACGTTAAAATTAAACAGATTACAAAGGAGAGTTACCTAATGGTGTTATATTTGAATGTTTATATATATTTTAAAAGGTTATTCTATTTGAATTATATATTTCTTACATTTTATATTATCTTATATGGAGGTCAATGTAATTGCATATTAGTAGAAGTTAAATGACATAATTATAAAAGACTATATATAGGAAACAATTTTATAATAAAGAATCTATTGTTTTGACTATAAAGATAGATCCCTCTTTGAGTGCAGATTCCTTCTATTATAACCTATGAAGATTTGGTCTTCTAATCAATTCTATCTCACTGAAAATAAGACTTTTAAAGGCCTTGGTACTCTCTTCATTCTACTATGAGAATGAGATATGGAACCCAAAGAATGATAATAAAGACAATCATTTATCAACAAGTGCCTCTGATACCTTACTAAATCGACATGAGTTTAAAAAAACTGCAGTATATGATCAATTTACCAACAATTGCTGAGAAAACTATTTTAAATGCAATAAAGACTGGATGCAAATTGGTATTTTTTACACTTATTAATATTTGCTTGTCAAGATTTCTTAAAACTAGGAAAAACTTATTATCACTAATAAGGAATTAACTAGGTATATACTTTGGACCTTATAAATTTTAAATATATGAAACTAAATAGTTCAATTCTACATAATTTTGGCTATATATATTTTCAAAATAGTTTTAATAGAATCTAATGATCAATAATAAGACTTTTTAATTGGTTATATTTAAAAAAATATAACCCAGGTTTACTTAATTTCTATAAATCCTAGGTTTATAGAAAAATTTGGGCTTAGCCATATCAAGCTTTTGTATAGGCCTGCTGGTCCTTTTCTATATATATCAGGAAAAGGCAATAAAATTGGAATTCTTATAGATATTAAATTTCTAATTATCTCATTTCTAATTTTAATTAGTTGGTTAAGACAATTTTAATAATTATAATACCTTCTTCACTGATCTGAAATGTGCCAATTTGTTTTTTAAATTTCTGCCAATCTGGTGTTAATATTTCAAGATCTTCATAAATGGGATAGCTAAAATATTAATTTATACAAATTCCAAGATGAATATAAAAGTTATTTTTAAAAATATACTTTTACCTATACATAGACCATCTATGTAAGGAATCTTCTTTTTCAGTCAAAACATCAAAAAGTTGATGAATTGATGTAGGCAGATCTTCAATTGAACTTTTTAATGATCGTTTTTGAGCATCAGCAATTGATTCAGGGCACATTCCTAAAAAAATGATCATAATGTAAAATTTCTACTGTAAACCAACACAGGAGCAACATTCAGTGTATAAATTTTGAAGACATTTGTAACAATCTTTGCAACAAGTGCAGTTATTGTGAATATCACAACCACACGATTTTATCAGCATGCATTTGCTGACCTTTTGTTAAATTTATAAATAAAGCATACTATAAATACCAGGCTAGCACACACCGCTTCGTTACAATGAAATAGTTCGGAAGAACCTGAAACATTTAAATTGTATGTTAGAAAAAATACATAAAGGGTTATTAATAAGATACGCATTAAAATTTTGAAAATAAAAAAGAGCGTTTTCCAAAACTTTATAGAAAGTAAAAACTAGAATGAGCTGGCATGTAAAACTGTCATATTTTATAGATCAGATGGGAAATTACCTATTGTGTTGTCAAAAAGTCCGATTTTGATCGATTTTTAAACACGGCCAAATTTAGCTAAAATAATGATGTGTAAGCCTCCTCTATATTAGGCAGATGATATATGATTAAAATCTCCAGGCTTACTATTAAGATGTTAATTTATTTTTTTATTCTTTATATTAACCTAATATTAACCTTACGGACTGATTGTATAATATTAACTTAATAGTTTGATTTAAATGATTACTGTTTATGTAAACTATAAAATTGATTTTTCGTTTATGTAAAGTATTAGATTGATTTTTATAAGCTATATAAGGATAAAAATTTACTATATTTTCAGTCATATAATTTTTTAAATAAATAAAATTAAAATAAAATTTAAAATACTTTCTTAATTTTGTTTTTCTCCCTGCCAACCTTAACACTTACATAATACTATTTTGACTAAAATCATAATCTGGCCAAATCTATCCAAATCAAGTTTTTAACAATACTATAAAAGCATAACCTATTTAAACTGATCCGGGTTTATAGTTTTTATATTAGAAAGATGTTCTAAAACCATTGTAGTAATAGATTGTCACTGCCCTTCTATTTTATTCCACGAGAAAAAAGATAATGAAAAAGATTATGTTTTAAGTCTAGTTAAAAGTTTTTGATACTAGAAAGATGTTCTAAAACCTTTGGGTCTAATAATAAATTATCACTGCCCTTATATTTTACTCCCAGAAGAAATAAAATTTCTAAAATTTAAAATATGTTTTAAGTCTAATTAAAAGTTTTTGATGCAAAAAAAATATTCTAAAACTTTTTAAGTTAGTAATAAATTGTCACTGCCTCTTTTGGGAAAAAAATTATGAAAATTTTTTAACTTTATTTTATGCCTAGTTAAAAGTTGTTGACACTAGAAATATGTTCTAAAACCTTTGGATCTAGTATAAATTAGCATTTAAATCCAGTAATAGATTTGCACTGCCATTATATTTTACTCCACAAGGAAAAAAATATGAAAATTTTTTAAAAACTTTATTTTAGCATAGTTAGAAGTTTTTTACACTAGAAAGATGTTCTAAGAGTTTTGGGTCTAGTAAAATTGGTTGCCATTATATTTTACTCCGCGAAGAAAAAATATATACTAAAATTTTTTAAAAATTTATATTTAAAAGTTTTTGATATTAAAAAGATGTTTTAAAACCATTGGGTCTAATGATAAATTGACTCTGCCATTAAATTTTATTTCACGATAAAAAAAAGAAAATTTTTTAAAAGTTTTTAAACCTCGTTAAATGCTTATGATATTAGAAAGATGTACTATAACCATTAGGTCTAGTAATGAATTGGAACTCCCATTATATTTTACTCCATGAGAAAAAAATAAATATGAAATTTTTTAAAATTTGTTTTAATCCTTGATACTAAGAAGATGTTCTAAAACAATTTTTCACATTTATTTATAATGTAATATTTTACCATTTTTATATGAACTATGATATATAATATCAATAAAACATTGTCAATGAAAATAATGGAATATTAATATTAATTATCCTATAGGAAACATAATAAACGAATAAATCTACCCCTAGATTTGAAGCTTATTGAGGAAAACATTCAACTAGAATCAATTTTGAGAAAAATGTACAAAATATCTAAACAAAATCATTGTAGGGATTAGCTCAGAATTAGGAATATCTGAAGTATCTTTATTAAATCAAACAAAGGTAAGATTTCAATAATATAATTTTAAAAGCTATAGTTATATCTCTAATGGTGTAAAATAATATCATTTATATAGTATGCTTAATTATTTAACAAAAAGTAAGTTAATATTTTAATTTTCCATTATATTAATTTTTACATTTATAACCGCAAAAAAATATAAAAAGAGATAATATATAATCATAAATTAAAATCTCCCCCTCCCCTTGCACATTATTATAATAAAATATAAAAGCGCACAGACGCGTAGCCAGATGGAAGGAGGGTGAGAGAGGGGAAGATATTCCCCTGAAAAATATAAAAGGGCATGAATTGTGAATTGCAAAGTATTTTATTTCAAATAAGTTATTCTATTCCAAGTATTACCAAAAGGTTAAAACTAATTTAAATATTTATTTCTTATATATTAATATTTTATCTCAAGAAAGTTTAAAGTTTATTTTCTTAAATTTTTTTATCCTTGAACACTGATGAATATAAGAAAATTTTATCCACCAAAAAAAATTGATTTAATTTTAATAGGCATTTCGCCTTTAAGTTGACTTTATCATCTGTATCATCTATAAGCTTGAAATATTTTTTATATGGTGGAAATGGAAATTCGGTTTCTTCTTCTATGATCTCTAAATCCATAATATCTAAAACTATTTTTTATTATATATCTATAAAATGAATATTAATATGACCTACAAGATTTTTCAAAAAATTTTCAATATAAAAAGGAAATACTGATATTTAATATTTAAAATGATTAGATGAAAAATCAATATAAAACTCGGCTCAACATTTAATAATGAATAAATTTAAATAAAATAAAATTTTATTTTCATTAAATTTTAATTAACAAATTTTATTAATATTTAAAAAATAATATAATTTATATATTAAATTTAAAGGAGCGGTGGAGCGGCGCTATTCCGCTCCAGCCTTAAAAGGAGCTACTCCCGCTCCCGCTCTTCATTTTTAAAAAGGAGGGGCGCTTCAGCTGTTTTTGAGAAAATGTAACGGCGCTCCAGGAGCGCCGCTCCTTAACAACTCTGAATTTATCACTTAATAACTGTAATTGTAAATTTTTTAGAGTGTATGAAATGTTCAGATATCTAAATCTAAATAAACAGAATTAACTCAATGTAATTATTTCTAAAACTTCATGTGCTAAAGGAAAAAAGAAACTGCAAAAAGCCTGCACAGCATGATGGATTCTTCCACATCAAGCTGTATAGCATTTTTTATATCTAAAAAAGCCTTCTTACTTAGAGAAATATCCATTAAAACATATTTTCACCTGAAGCTGATACATTATTAGAGTTAATATTATTGCTGATTATTTTTCATAAATGTATTAATAAATTATTTATTATACATCAAATAGCAATATTTTTCAAAAGAAAATGTATTTGCTTGAAGTTATGAGAATCGCTAATTTTATTATATAACTTAGAAGAAAGAAACAATATAGATAAGGAATTTCTTTGGATTTATGTGATTGTTGAGGTCAATAATAAGTTATATAATTTTGAGATTCACAAGCCTCGATTTTTCCGACAAATTTATCGTTCCAATATTAAAGTGGACTCCCATTATAAAATAACCATTATTTTGACAAATCAATGAAAGATTTGTGATTAATAAAATGGTTCTATCCAATTTACAAATACTATAATTCATAACTTCCTATATCAAATTTTGATATTAAAAAATTAAATATTTAGCTAAATTTTATTGAGAGGAGTAAATGTATCTGTAGGTTATTAATTTCAGAATTTAGATGGTATATAAGATTAGATAATCCTCCAAGAAATATCGTGGAAGCATTGCATACTTCAAAATACTATAAGTTTTTCAAATATATAAAAATTATTGTAAATTTTGGCAATGATACCAATTAGTACAAGCACAAATGAGATGACCTTTTCTTTATCACAGAGAATAAAAAAAATATATTGAATGACATCGATTGAATAGACTAACTTTTACTCATCGAGATCTAATCCCCAACATGAAACAAATCATTATAAAATTGGATCAATCCCAAGGAAGATTAAATTTTCATTTATGAACTATATTTCGATTAACTTTTTAATTTATTATAATGTTTAATTTTATATTTTATTCCATTTACATACCTATAATATTTTTAGCAGTATTATATTAACATTTTGAATTTTCCAATATTTTATTATTTGTCGAAATTATCATATTTTCAAATATGATTGGTTCTAATAAATTTTATATGATGATTAGTTCTAATAAATTTATAAAGCTCATCAATCCCTCCGTAGAAATTCTTGGCTACGTGGCTGTTTATTTGTATATTAAACGGTGTCACGATACATGTTGTCGTGCCTCTATATCTTTTTTGTATCGATACCTGACAAAATATACTTTTTATCTTAAATTTAGTTTATTATTTTCATTTCCACATCAACTTTAAAAGAAATTTAAATAAACTTATTAAATTTATAAATATATAAAAAAAGTAAAAGAAGATGGTTAGCATCAATAGGTATTTAATAGGGTAAATTTAACGCGAAAGGGGTTACCAAATACATTTTTTTTATGTAGTAGAACAAAAAATATTGCTACGAAAATTTATTCAATAATTAAATTATAGACCCCTTCTGGATTAATATATATTACAATTATATTAATGTCTATAAAATATAATATTAATTAGGACAAAATATAATTTTATAAAATTTTTAAATTTATATGTTGCAAATTAATTCATTTTCGCAATATGAATATAATTTAACTTTAAATTTATTTTCCATAAGAGGTATAAATGCATAAAATTTTTGTGTTCCGGTTTAACCTGTTGAAACATTGTTTTAAATTTTTTCTTATTCATAATCGTATTATAACCGCGTAAATTTGTTAATCAAAAATTAACCCAAACTATCACAACCACATTTACCATGGGCAGTTGCGTGACATTCTACCATGATGCCGGAGTTTATGATGGCAAAGATTATGAATTTTTAATTTATTTATAAATTTATTTCGGCATCAGAAAAATAAAATTTTTTGATTTGAGAAAATTAATAATTTTAATCTGTAATAAATAAACTGCGCGGTTTATTTTAAACAGGAAGGGGACATCCCATTAGTTATTATGTTTGTTCATATTATTTTCCCGATAATACACCATAAATGAAGAGTAGTCTCGCTATATGAAAGTTGTCCTGCGCCAAAAAATCATAATTTCGGAAAAATCACAAATAACTAAAAAATTACCAACATTTAAACTTGATTTTAATGAAATGTAAAATGCTGACTATTGGAAATATATGAATGTGGAATTAACCAATTTAAAATTTCGAAAAATAAATCTAAAAATCATGTTTCAAGAGTCGTTTGATCAACAGATAACCTTTGTTTGAAAGTTATATAATTAATTGAACTATTGTCTAATAATATCCCAAATTTTTTTTCTTAGATTGAGGGAAGGGCAAAGTTTACATTCTCTAAACAATCAGGAATTGCAGGATTACAAAGATATTGTGCATGCAATCTTGATAATTTTTAATGGGAAATATAGCATTAGACGTTAACAGCCATAAATACTGCTCCCATTTTAATTTTTTGAATAAATTTCAAACAATAAGCCTTTGTAGTCAATCAGTTCGAAGAAAAATATCTGTAATTTATCATCTAGTTTGACTTTTTTTGCATTGTTGCTTGCCAGATTCCAATACTCTGTATACATAAGCAAGGAAATTCTAATTTTTTGCACGATTACTAGTCATTTACGCCATTTACAATAAATTTATGAAAAACATAATGAAATTTGTTCACTGAATAAAAATGGAAATTAAAATAAAAATAATCGATTAACAAGATATGTCTCTTCTGGTTCCAAAGTATTGAATGCCCATTCTGATAATAAAATTTATTAAAATTTTTTTAAACTTTTTTGGCTCTTAACACAGAAGAAAACTCAGTATCATTTCACAATTTTATGAATTAAATTTATGCTTAACGGACTAATATCATTGTGAATCAAGATTAAAAAATTAGACTTTTGCATTGTTTTACTAATGATATTTAGTTTATTTTAGATATTGTATATTGCAGAGCTCCACTACCTAATGGGTAAAATATAAAATGATTAAATTATAAAGTTGCTCTACTCACGATGTATATTAATATATTATTAAACAAAAACTCCTTTCCCAAGTACATTTTGAAACGATGCAGTTGTACTCTACCCCCTTGTTAGAAGATAGGGTATATAAGTATTGTTAAATTATTAGAAATGATGTTATCAATTTTTTAGAAATGTCACTTCTAATTTCATTGCCAACATGATTTTTACTTAAATAAGATAATAAAATTAATAGCTATTAATATTCAGACTTTCACAAATAAATTCTTTTTAATCTCTTATAGGGTTTTTTCATTATAATTACAAAAAAATAATAGGATATCAAACATTTTTTTTTAATTATTGCGCAAATTTTACATTTAAATAATTTGTTAAAATAATATATTTATTATCCGTAAATTCGATATTAATGCATTCACCCACCGATTGAGCCGATTGATTCGCAAGAGCAATAAAAGCAATAATTAAAACGTCGGTATCCATAATGACAAACCAAATTGCGTCTCACAAAAGGTCACACTATAATGATATGAAACAATAGTAACATCAAATGCAAATTTAAACCCTAAAAAATATTCAACATAAAAGTTTTTTTATTTTACCCATTTACAAAAAAAAATATATGGGATTAAGAATTTCTCAATTTTTGAATACTGACGGTTATTTGATAAATTTTTAAAAATCTGATTTCACTGGAATTGTATAACACCAAGTGTAAAAATCTAACCTATAAATTTCACACAATTCATGCCAGAAACTTTGTTGTTTTTTTATAATTTATATGGAAAATCCATATATAAAATATAAATAAAAAGTATTTCAACAGTTCTAGGCAAAATTGTCTGAAATCTACCCTATGGGTATCTCCATACATGTTGGAATACATTTCTAATTAAATAAGATTTTGAAAATCACCTTCAAAAAAATGATTTAAAATTGAGAAATTTATATATTCTAAAATCCTAATATTTACCCATATATATAGGTTAAGCTGGGGTTAGGTATACCCGAGGCGGCTAATCACTTAATCTCATTGTTAAATTATATAGAATAGAAGGTTTAAATTTTATCCTAATATAGCTTTTATTAGTAATAAAAATAAAAACATATATAAAACCTAAATAAAATATAAATTAGAATATAAAAGTAAAACAAAATATAAGTTTTTAAGTAAAATAAGATAAATATTTATCTAAGATGATGATATATATTGTTTTTTCTTATGGCAGTTAATATGAAGAAAAATATTTCAAAATCTTGGAAAGTTTTACGGATTAGCATAAATGATATTTAAGATTTATCCTAAGAAATCATAATATCTCCTTAAGGTCCTTATTTTTTGTATGTCCAAAATGTTTATTAAATTAATCAAAATTAAGTTTCAATTTTTAAATATAATTAGTTTCAATTTTATAGTATTACATTTTGAACAATAAAAACGTTATTTATAATATTTAAAAGAACAAAAGAGTTATAACCGATAAAATCGGATGGACTATCCCCAATTTCCCTACACAATAATAAATAATGTTTTATAAATGAATTAAAAAAATATATTGCTTCTCGTAAAAAATAACTTAAGCTATGTCTTAAATTGAAAAAAAAATTTAAATCCAAACTTTTCTGAAATTTGAACATAAATGAAATTAAAAAAATTCTATTAGATATAAAAGCTACCTCCTCTTCCATACATTTTATGCCCATACTCATTGGAGTATGTTCCTCAATAGCTTTAATCATAACACTTAATAATGCCATCATGACCAAAATTATAGCAAATAATAGTTTGTAGTTCATTTATTTAAGATGGGTGAGAGGGTATCTAAGAAAAATTATTTTATTTTTATATAAATAAAGATTATATAGAATTATAACAAATAGTATACATACCTTAGTGAAATATTTGAAAAAAAATTTCAAAAGTTGTAAAAAAATGTTATGTACTTGATTGACTCTTTCACTCCTTTATATAAAAAATTTGATTGTTTACAACTTGGCAATTGTAAAATTCTATGATTTCTATAAACGTGTTAAATTAATTAAATATATTCAAAGTTATGTCAAAATTTTTATCTTATTGTTTAAATTTTCTCATATCCTTATATATATTCAAATTTTTTTGAAACCCTGGACAATATATAAAACAAATTATACATTATCATTTTTAAGAAATCTCTTTTTTTAAAATATAAATTGGTAAAAGTAATTAATTGTGTTTAAAATCCAGTTAGGCCCTGTCATTGTTAATATTATTTAATTTTCTTAAAGGATGATTGGCTATATATCCAAAAATGTGAAGTTTAATTTAATAATGCCAAATTTTAAAAGATCTTATAATATAAGAGCGAAAACACAATTTTGGTTAAAAAAATATTACTTCAGAATCCAGATTTCGCAAATAGTTGACAGAAAGGGTTTGCTTTCTTTTGACCAAATCTCGAGACTTTATAATTTAAAAATTGGCAAAAATTTTAATTTAACCATTTTTCAAAAAGCGTCTAAATTTAGGGTTTCTACATTACGACGATTTAGTACTTTTTAAGAAAAATTAAAAAAAAACTAACCAAAAGAAATGTAGAGTTTTTTTATTTTTATGTTACTCTGGTTTTAATATGATGTTTTTGCACAGGTGAATCTTGTAAGCAAGTAGTGAAGATCACGGTCCGGTCTTTGGTCCAGACTGAACCGATACTATCGGACCGGTTTGTTTAAAAAACATATTTTTTTAACCTAATTTAATTTGTTTTATCATTTTATTAAATATAAGAGTATTATATAAACAATATTGAAGAAAGTGATTTTGTGCTTGTGGAGGGCATATTAAAATTAAGAGTAGATTGTGTTTTTGAGATATTTTCATTTTCATTATTAGAAGTATATATTTTTTGTTTTATCAGATGTCTGCTTAAGGTACCTAATTATTTTATTAAGAATAAGGTTAAGTTATTTTGACAATGAATTATTCAGACAGTTTCTTAAGAAAAAATAGAATATATAAATAATAACCAAAATATTTTAATAATAATACTGCTTATTTTGATTTCATTATTGCTTAAAAATTATAAACAATTTTTTTGTTACTTGTTGCTGACGATACATTGAATTTAGTATTGCAGTGCAGTAAACACATACTCTATGTTTTTTATTGGGACTATAAGTAAAATGTAAACTTATGGTTTTCATATTGTAAAATAAAAATTAACAAAATCTAAATAACTCATCTAGAAAAATATTATAAAATAAAATATAATTAATTCAATAGTAAAGCAAACTTAAATAATAATAAAAAACCGGTCCGTACCACGGTCCTCAAAGAAAGATCGGTCCGAAAATCGGTCCGGTCTCGGTCTAAAACCGATAGGGCCGGACCGTTGACTTTCACTAGATGAATGCAAAGCGGCAATTTTAAAGAATGCAATGATGCTTAGAGAAAAGATAAATTAAAGAATCTATTTAAGAAGAATGATATACGGATTCCTTAATCACCGCTAGCTTGCTGATGAATTATAGATAAGTTAGAAAAAAATTCTTTCCAATAACATTGTTAATTCGAAGGAAAGAAAACTAGAACATTTTTATATGAAAGAGAGGATCAATATACATGATCCTATGGAAAATTATTATTATTTAATTTTGTTTAACATATTGCTCGATTAAGTTATAATATCGTAATGTCTAAAATCAAAATTTCTACGCTTTTTGAAAAACGGTTAAATCAAAATATTCGGCAAATTTTTTTTTTACCTGAGCCTCGAGATCCTTTCTGCCAAAACATATGCCAAACTGGTTTCTTAAATAATGTTTGTTAGACAAAATTATGTTTTATTCTATGTTTTTTAAAAAGCACCTAACCTTCTTGTTTTTGACAACATTAGTCTTAAATTTTCGCCTATCGAGTTTCAGATAATGGTTTCTATAAAAAACTGTTGATAAGATCTTTTAAAATTTGCCATTATTAAAATTTAGATTTTTTGAAGTACAGATATAGTTAATTGTTAGAAATAAATGGAACTGCTTTTAACACATTTATTAATTAGCTATATCTATTTAGGCGAAGAAAGAGATTTCATAAACATGATAATGAATGACGTTTCTTATAAGATTGTTCAAGATTTCTAAAAAAAATTGAATTGTATTAAGAATAAGATAAAAATGTTAAAGTAACCTTGAGTTAAAAGCATTTATTTAAAAAATTAAAAAATTTTTAAAGTTTAGTTTTACACATTTATATCATAGAATTTACATTAGCCAAATATAAATAAAGGAGTGAAAGAGTCAAACAAATACATTAACTTTTTTAAAATTTTTACTTCAAAGATTTTTTTAAGGTATGCAAAGATATAATAAAATAATTCTTCTTAGATATCAACATCTTGAATATGAATTACAAACGATTATTTGCCATATCTTTGGTCATGATGATATTATTAAATGTTATGATTGAAGCTGATATATACCCGCATCCTGCAGAGCCTGATGATGAAGAAGGAAGGCCCGGATTTGTTGATAGATGTAGCTTATATATATAATCAAATTTTTTAATTATGATTTGTGTTTAAATGTTGGAAAAGTTTGTATTGGTAATTTTTTTTTTTCAAATTTAGGACATAGCTTAATTTATTTATTTTAGGAAAAGCAAATAATCTTAAATTCATTTTTAAAAAGAACTATTTATTATTTTTTAAGAGAGACTGGGGCTAGTCAAACCTTTTTACGAAATCGCTATAAATCTTGTTATTTTATATATTATAAAGAAGACTATATATCGATACCTATTTCATATTACTCTATAAAAGCGCCTTTTAAATATTTCTAAGATTATAATCATATTTTTGAAATTTTGCTTTTAAAAAGTAAAATTCCCAACAAGCCTGAATAGCTGGGTAAAGAAAACCACTTCAAGAGGTTTTTAAATCAAGTTTTCATAAGCTATATTAAATTGAATTGCTATTTTATTTACTAATAATGATTATAAAATAATTTTATTTTACAAAATACCAAGATACTTTTACAATGAAGCTAATTATTTTGTAAAAATAGAAACTAATTTTGGTTAATTTAATAAACACTTTGTAAATATAAAAAATAATGATTTCTTAGCATAAATCCTAAATACCAATCGTCCAGGCATGAGATTTATTTCCAAGATTTTGTTATGTTTTTTTTCATATTAAATGCCATATGATAGGTTTTTTATTTTTATCTAAAAAACAATATAAAATATTGAAGAAAATAATTGATATCTTTTTAATTTAAAGACCATAAAATATTTTATTAGCTTTGATTTACTTTGAATACTCTCTTAATTATTTTGCCTAAGTAAGCCAGTTTCTTGATATCTCTTATATTATTTATGAAATTTGATCTAGGTATACCTAAAATAAAAATGCCAAATAAATATTAATTTAGATCTACATAATTATTTAATATAAAATGTAGGAACAAAATAAATACCCATAAAACTTTCTAAATTTATAAAAGGGTGTTAAAAATTTACTATAAAATTTTATTTATATATAAATGATTATAACTTAATTCAAATTGAAATTCTGTCAAGTAAAAATCCTTAGAATTTGTCATCAATATTTTATTTCTTGAATAAATGTTTTAAAAATTAATCATTTTAAAAGATTTTGTGTCTATAGATACATAACTAATAAAAGATATTTAGCATAAAATTTGAGCCTTCTAGTCTAGTTAATTGAAAAATGATATAGTGGTTTGCTAAGCCCCTGGGTTTGCCAAACCCCAGTCTCACTATATATATATACATAAATAATTTATATCGGTAATATTAGGATTTTATATTATGTAAGATATTAATTTTTTTTATGTGAATGTAAGTATGGTGAACTGGTGAACTCCATATCAAATCAACAATTAAAAAATCGATTTTCAACCCGACCTCCTCAGAATTTTTTGAAATTTTCTTTTCCTTACACCGCTTACTCGCTAAGATATTGGGGTTTAAAGAGCGAAAATACATTTTTGACAAAATGCACTTCCTTAATTTTCAAATAACTCAAGATTAGATTGATTAGATTAGAGCAATAATTTAAAAATAATAGATCTTTAATATGACATAAATAAATGTGATAGAAACCCGATTAATACAAAAAACCGGGAATGGTCATAGACAAAAAAGGTTTTTTTTTTCAAATTGCTTAATATTTATATAAATTCTAGACTGAAAACGTTGGTATCTGAGTTTTGATCCTTTATATGACAAAATAATAAAATTTAACATAAATTTTAAGATGATTTTTCATACCTAAATTTTCATCAGGGCTAACAAATATATGATTTACTTCTCTGATATTATTTCTTGCATAGTTATATAAATCAATTGTTGTCTATATATGATCATATGAACGCTGCAAGGTCCTAAGTGTTTAGTAACGCTCCCGAAACTGTCACAGGGACTTTTACCAGATGCGGTTGCAAATAAATGCCGCTATGCATTTATCCCAAAATAAATTTCATGATTGTAGAGATTACTAAAGTTTTTTTTTATATTTAAATGCCCCATCTAAAAAATTATGAACTCTAACTATTAATACGATCAATTTCATTAAAATAAATATAAAATACATGAAACAATCTGTTATAACAGCAAAATTTAATAATTTAATTAAACATTCTTAACAGTAATGTATAATAAATTATAAAAAGTGAATAATGTGATTATTAGCTCAATAGAATCCTTGTGCGTGGTCCTGCATCTACAAATGCATAATTTTCAGAAAGGTCAGTAATAACTAAGAATTCGCCAGCATATAAATTGGATTTTAATAAGTTTAGAATTAAGGATTGTTGTGAAGTTATAAGTATAATTAATTTTTCGATTAAATGAACTATAAATTAGTTGGCAGATTTTATTAGCTTTTCAAGAAATGTTAAGTAATAATCTTTTAAATTCGTGTCAAATAATAAATAATCGTTATTTTATTTTTGATTTATACTAAAATAAAATATTTAAAATTATTTTTCGAAGCAATTTCAAGAGAAAATTTTACCAAAGTCTTTAGCCCAGTCTAGGATTTTGCACAAATATAAATTGATTTTTATTCTATAAGCCATTAACGGTTTTGTACTTCATGTTTTTGGTATAAATCTGGCATCTATTGCATTTATATACATGTCATATTAAATATCTATTATTAAGTTATATAATAAAATTTAAATAATCACTCTATTCTATCTATTTAATTTTGAGATATTTGAAAATTAAGGAAGTGCATTTTGTCAAAAATCCACTTTTAAAACGCTCATATCTTAGCTAGTAACTGGTGTAAGAAAGTATACTATCATTTCTTTATGTATAATGTATACTACCATAAAAATTTTTAAAAAAGGGTTAATGGTTGATTTGAGATATATATATAGTAATTGGGAAAAGATTCCATGGGTATTCAGAATTTCTCAATTTATTATCAATTACTTAAGGTGATTTTTAAAACTCTAAAAAGATTAAAAATGTATTCTAACATGTATAGAGATACCCCCACCCTGAATTCAGTTTGCCTGGAACTGTGATATAATTTTTTTTATCTATATATATTAACCATATAAATTTAATAAATACACAAAAATATCTAGCGAAAATTGTGTGAAATTATAGGTTAGGTATTTCACACATGCCGGAATATAATTCTGGTGAAATCAGATTTTAATATTTTGAAAATGGTTTTTTATAAATTGAGAAATTCTTAATTTCCATAAAGATTCAATAGTCCAATTACGACATAATATATTAATTTATTTTTAGTGTGTAAAAAAAAAGAGTTTAGAAACAAAAAGCACTTATGTTGTATATATTTGGTTTCAATTCGTTTTTATAAATCATTTATATTATAGTATGCCATGGTGTGAGATGCCATCTTTTCTGTCATAGATATAGACGTAGAAACGGATGCTTATATTGCGCTTGCTGGAGCCAAGACAAAATTTTTTAATAAATTATTTTAATATAAAATTTACATATAAAAAAACATGTTTATAACCAATTTTTTTTATCATTTTTATATCTAATATATATTACTTGAAAACAATCTTATAAGAGCATTAAAAAGAATTTATTTGTGAAATTCTGAATTTATTATAATAAAAATCATCGTAGCCCTTAAATAATATGAGACATTGCTAAAATATGATCATACAATTTTAAATAAACCTAAACAAATACTTTTACCCTAGAGTGATATGTAATATACAAAGAATTTTTTACAAGGGGATCAGTGTAAATATATCGTTGCAAAAGGAGGGTAAGGGTAACACTTTAAGTCTATAAAATATATATCATCACTAGAGCAACTTTTTAATTAAATTATTCAGAAATGGCATATCTTGTTAATCTATCAGTTTTATTTCTAATTTCAAATATTATTCAGTGAACAAATTTCATTATGTTGGTTTATTAATTTGTTGTAAAAAATCATCATAGTTCCTAATAATTAGAATCCCCTTGCTTAGAATTAGAAATACGGAGTATTGGAATCTGGCAAGCAACAATGCAGTATCAATCTATTCTTGCTAGGTGAAGGTTTTGCCTAATTAAAGGCGCCTAATCTGTGGATAGACTGATATTGGATTGGTAAGAATTTGTGTTATAATGTTGGAAAAGTTTGGGATTTGTAATTTTTTTCTTCAAATTTAGGACATAGCTTTATTTATTTTTTTTAGGAAAAGCAAATTATTTTAACTTCATTTTAAAAAAATTATTTATTTATTTAGGGGATAATGGGGCCAGGTTAACCTATTTTTACAAAAAAGCGATAACTCTTTTGTTCTTCTAGTTATTATAATGAACACTATATGAATCGATATCTATTACTAACTTTATAAAAGTGCCTCTTAAATATTTTTATGAATATAATCATATTTTTGAAATTTTGCTTTTTAAAAAGTGAAATTTTTACTCAACAAGCTTCAATAGCTGGGTAAAAACAATATAAATAAAATTATGCAAAAAATAATATATATAATATTTTTTTATAATAATTTTTTTAAAATATATAACGGGTGAATTATTGCAGAAAATTTATATTCAATTGAAATAGAATATTATAAAAATATAATTTGTGAACAATACTTCAAGTGTACATACCTTTTATCTTTGTCTTGCAGAATTGCATTAATAAATGGCATACAAAATGAAATTATTTAAACCATTTTTTTTAAAATATTATAATAGTTATCGTGGGAGTGATATTTCCCAAATGCATTTTTTTCTCTCTCTAAAATCGAAAGAGCCATAGGAATAAGTTCCATAACTTATAAAATTATATATAAAGCATATAATATTCATCAATGAACGACTTGTCATTATCTAAAAATCTATGCAATTTGGATTTATCACAAGATTCGTCAAATTTGTGGCAATTTTCCTTAATAAGACTATATTAATTTCACGGAGTTATAGGAATAGTTCGATCTTGTTATAATCATATAATCAGATATCCAATTTTTTCATTAAAAATGGCTGCGCAGCTTGGAGGATGCCCATGTTTAATCCTCAATTGAGGTTAAAATATTTTAGTTGGGGCACAATTTACCCTTATAAAGTGTAAACTTTGTGCACTTAGTTTTCTTTATTGATGTAAAAAATGTTTCATATTGGAGCCAAGGCAGGCTTTACTCATTTTCATCAAAAGAAACTGTAAAATTGGCATAATATTCTTTATAAAATAAATTATAGTATTAATAAGAATATAAATTTACATACATTGAATGATTCAATATTAATTAGATTAATAATCTTGATCGAAAATTTAACAAAGAAAATATAAAATAAAAATCAAGAAATTTGGTGGTTGATTTCAATTTAAAATTTGGCTTAAATTATTTATAAATTTAAAAAATAAATAAAAGTATTTTTATAATGCAATAAAATATGTTTTTTACATGTTTTTTAAGAAAATAAAGTAACGAGTAATGTTTTGCGTTACAGTTACTCAAAAAAAGATATTTATAAAATTTGATCTAAGTAAACCTAAAATAACACTGATAAATAAAATATTAGTTTAGATCTATATAAAACTTAAATTTAAAAAAGAGTTTTAAAACTTTGCTATTAAATTAAATTTAACTTAATTTAAATTTAAATTCTGTCAAGTAAAAATTCTTTGAATTTGAAATCAATATTTTATTTCTTGAAATTATTCATTAAAGATTTTTTGTTCAGAATTTTTCAATTTTATATCATTTACTGAAAGTGAATTTGAAATTTTTAGTAGCAATGTATTCTAACATAAAGATACCCCCACCGATCACACAGTTTTGCATAACTGTTATATAATTTTAATTTATATCTTTTTTATATATAGATTTACCAAAAAAATTAAAAAAATGCACCAAAATTTCTAGTGAAAACTGTGTGAAATTATAGGTTAGGTGTTCTACATATGCTGGAATATAATTCCTGTGAAATCGTAAAATATTAAAATATTAAGAAATTCTTAATCCCCATAAAGATTGAAAGTTAGAATTTAAATAGATATTGAATATATGATTTTATTTTAATAGAAATCAAGTTAGCCCTTAAATAATATAAGACATTGCTAAAATATGGTAATATAATTTTAAATTAACCTTAACAAATACTTGTACCCTAGAGTGATATATAATATACACAGAATCTTCTAACACGGAGATCTGTCTAAATATATCGTTGAAATTTCAATAGAAACTTGGGTGAGGGAGGGTAACTCTTTAAGTCAATAAAATATATAACATCACTAGAGCAACTTTATAATTAAATCATTTTATATTTTACCCATTAGTGAGAGGACACTGCAGTATACAATACCTAAAACGAAATAATTATCCTTAGCAAGACCTGCAAAAGTCTAATTTTTCTTTCTCGATTTACATGAGAGAGTCAGTTAAGCTTAATTCTAAAATCTTGAACTGCTTATGTGTTTATGCGAGCTAAAGAATTAATTGAAGAAGTTAAGATAAATAATTTGTTTATCAAAGCAGGCATTCAATATTTTGGAACTAGAAAAGTCATTTTCTAATTTCAAATTTTATTCAGTGAACAAATTTCATTATGTTGTTTTATAAATTTGTTGTAAATGTCATAAATACACATAGTTTATAGTAATTAAAATTTCCTTGTTTAGGAATAAAGAGTATTAGAATCTGGCAAGCAACAATACAGAAAAAGTAAATCTAGATGATAAATTACCGATATTTTTCTTTCAAACGATTGATAATAAAGGCCATTGTTCAAAATATTTTTAAACTGTAAATAATCGATAAAACATCCCCCTCTATTTGCCCAATAATTCTGTTAAAAATAAACATAGAGCGAAGCATTATTTATATTTATCAGTATTTCACATTGATAGATATTTTGAGGCATCAATGGTAATAATTTAGTAAGTATGTATTAGGAGAGGAATATACTTGAAGCAATTGTATAGGTAATTAAAAATTTAAACAATCCCCTTTTCTTACTCATTATAATAATTGAATACTTTCCCTATTAAAGATATCAGAAAGGAAGAAAGAAACTAGGACATTTTTTTATCTTCATTTTTGGGAAAGCAATTTTTTTAAAAAAATTTAGTTTTAAAATTAGTCGTTATAGTACTATACAAAAATTTTATCTCCCATATAAGGTTGGCCAATATTTTAAAATTAAGAAATTATTATCAAAAATAACGATATCAAAACTGCACACTTAAATAATTAGCGTTTAATTTCTCAAACACTAAAGTTTTCTTAATATAACTTTATTAATTTTGTTCAGCGTTTTCAATGTAACTTAATATTTAAGAACATGAAAAATATAAATGCGAACGAGATTATTTTCAACATTATAAATTATTCAGATAGTGATATCAAAAATATAATTACTTAAATTTTGTAACTTCCACAAAAAAAAGGAAGAGAATTAGCTATTAATAAGTAAAGTGGTTCAAATTATTTCCAATAAGAGAATTTAATAAAATTTAATGTATCTTGGCTTAAAGTTTATAAAGTTGCAAAATATTTAGAAAAATACATGTAAGAGCAATGATTAATGTTTTTTCAAATTATAATAAAGAAATGGGCAGTTATATTATTCAAAAGGGAATCAGAATTTTCTCCTTATGGATAAATTAAATTTTACCTTTATTTGACGATGGATGAATCAGAATAGTCACATTAGAGGAATAGATTATCCGTATTTATTCTTCCAAGATTTCTATAAAATTTTAGAGAAAAGGTCAAATATATTATGAAAAATATGGAATAAAAAATATATGATTATGAGTTATGATATATATCAATTCTTTAACATTTCCACATCCAGTCGCAATGGTTTTTGTCCTCTGACTTCTTATAATACATACATCTCAAAGAATTATTTAAATGCTTTTAAAAACCTTCCTAAATAAAAAAGACCTGTCATCATAGAATCGAATCACTTATGGGGGCAAACCTGATTATCTCACAAACACTATGGTGGTATTCACCCCATTGCAATGGGCTATTTAAAAGATTATTAGCAAAAATAATTGCCACTGGTCAAAACCCAGGGTCTTAACATATTAAGTATACGTATCAATTAGGAGTTGGTGTTAAGGGAGAAAGCAAAATAGCTTCACATGCCATTTTATATCCAAAATCCTCCTTAACATGGCTATAATCAAAGTAGACTTTAAAAATGATTTCAGTAGCAGTAACATTAAAACTCCTTTATTCAGCCCACATGTCAATTGTGACGAAAAGATCCAGCAGGAGGCACACGTCCTCGTTTATTTTACCTTGGTATTCATAATCTTAAATCTAAATTTAATTTGGATATAAATTTTTGATATCTTGATGATGGAACACTGTAGTAATGCTCTTCCTAAAATAATTGGTCTACAACTTGAAGCCAATTTTAAAAGACTCATTCTTAATAAGTTCAAATCCAAAATCTGTTTCCACGATAACTATGTAAAACCTCATCTAGCAAGATTATATTTTTTTATTGAGGACATAAATAATAAAAATTAAAAAAATAAGGAAATTAATAAATAAGTATATTCAATTTCAAATATTTGTTCATATTAAATGCAATAGATATTATAAGAATAACAAAAATTTTGGAATTAACTCTCACAAAATAAGGTAAATTTCTGATTCACACCTCATATAGGCTTATTTTTAATTTATCCATCATCAAATTAAGGAGAATACAAATTCTTGGTAAACAT